TCCCCCTCAGGCGCAGCCATGGCGGCGGCGTGTCCCCCCCCCGTCCCTCAGCCCCTTATCCCTGCTGGGCCCCGCGGCGGCGGCCAGGCTAACGCGCGGCCCTTCCCCTTCCAGGTGCGGCTGCTGTGAGACGGGGCGGCGGGGAGAGCATGGGACCGGCGGACCTGGCGCAAAAGATCAGCATTAGCGCCGAGAGCCCCCGGGGGAGCGAGAGGAACGAGGCCGGCGCCGCGCTGGCGGGGGCGGAGAGGGTCCCCCCCGGCACCTGGAGGCAGAAGTGCGCGGCCTATGTGCTGGCGCTCAGACCCTGGAGCTTCAGTGCCTCCCTCACGCCCGTGGCCCTCGGCAGCGCGCTGGCGTACCGGGCTGAGGGAGCCTTAGACCCAGGGCTCTTGGTGGGAAGCGCCGTGACCGTCCTGGCTGTGCACGGAGCCGGCAACTTGGTGAACACCTACTACGACTTCTCCAAAGGCATCGATCACAAGAAGAGCGATGACAGGACTCTGGTGGACCAGATTTTGGAGCCTCAGGACGTGGTCCGGTTTGGAGTCTTCCTTTATACTGTGGGCTGTATTTGTGCAGCTGGGCTCTACGCCGTCTCAACGCTCAAGCTGGAGCACCTGGCCCTGATATACTTTGGAGGACTTTCCAGCTCCTTCCTTTATACTGGAGGTAAGTGCTGTATGCCATTTAGAGTGAATCTGAATGTGAGGGTGACAGAATTAGCTGACTTAGCAAGGGTTTCTAGAAGATGCAAGTGATCTACCTAGTTAATCTCTGTAAAACATTTGGTGGTATTTCCCGGAGTACTGGTGCATAAACTTGTATTCTTTGCCGTTGATTGTTGTGGGAAGGGGCACACACAGTTTTTCAGATGGAAAGTGGTGTCGAGACATTGTTAGTTACATATATGGCTTTCGATGCTCATCAGAACTGTTGCTGAAAATTATTGTGATGTATGTCCTGTATCCCTCAGCAGTATAGCTCACTGCATATATTCTTTTCCACTGGTGGCATCTTTTACTTTCTTCTGGAGTTTCATTGTGAACGTAGACTAGTTTGTGTTTGTTCTTAGTAGGATATTTTTATTTTCTCCCGATTGTTGAACTTTCAAAGAGTTATGTTAGTTTCCTTAGAAGAACCTTGTCAGTTTTGTTTTGTTCTGACCATTTTATATATTTCTCCAAGATCAGGTTCTAGTATGCATGACCACACTAAAGAGTACTTTATTTCTATAGATTTCTGCAGAAATAGGTACTTCTGGATGTGAAGATGGGTATTAGAACCTGACCCTTAGTTTCTGTTACATTGTTTCACTGGAGAAATTGGAAAAAAGAGAAAATGTGCTTCTCAGACATAGCTACATGTGCGTAGGTCATTTTCTGTGGGAAGGGCTGATCTGTTCTATTATCCATTCTCTTCTGTCATTTGAGTTGTTTGATGATGCTTCATTTTATTCTTGTGTCTTGCCACAGGAATTGGATTTAAATATGTTGCACTTGGAGACGTGGTGATCCTGATCACCTTTGGGCCGCTGGCTGTCATGTTTGCCCATGCTGTGCAGGTTGGGTATCTGTCTGTCTCACCACTGCTCTACGCTATCCCACTAGCCCTCAGTACTGAGGCCATCCTGCACAGCAACAACACTCGGGACATGGAGTCTGACCGGCAGGCGGGTATTGTCACCTTGGCCATCCTCATCGGCCCTGCCTTCTCCTATATTCTCTACACCGTGCTGCTCTTCCTGCCCTACCTGATTTTCTGTGTGCTGGCCACACGCTATACCATCAGCATGGCGCTGCCGCTGCTCACCATCCCGATGGCATTTTCACTGGAGAGGCAGTTTCGGAGCCAGAGCTTCAACAAAATTCCTCAGCGGACAGCCAAACTCAATCTCCTCTTGGGGCTTTTCTATGTTTTTGGTATTACGCTAGCACCAGCCGGTGCTCTGCCCAAACTCTAACAAGAGCCAGGCCTCACAATTCAGTATTAATGCCGATTAAGAGGGGATGATGTGAGTAGATGACCCATTGTGGACAGCAGGAAGAATGGAGAGACCGTCTGGAACTGTTGATTGTGAATTTTATAATTTCTGGTTTTGGTTAGTTTGTACAACGAACTTTAGGACAGTGGTTTGTCGGTTCTTTGGAGGGGATGAACTGTACAGCTTTGCTTCAGGGGAGCGAGGCAACGTGAGGAGAAGGACATGTCAACTTAAGGAAAGTAAGATTGAGCCTCAAATACAAACTCTTCTGTTCCCTTCACAAGCACAGCGGTTGCTCTTATGACTCCGTTCCTTACCATGGTCAAGGAGTCCCAAGGCTCCTGCATGGTAAACAGAAAACACTGCCAAATGTTTAGCTTCACAACGATGTAGGTGCTATTACTTCACTCCCTTGTGAGCGTAGTTCATCTTCATCTGTTGTATGTTTTAAGCTTTGTTGGGTATTTTTTTTTCCTAGCTGAATTTTGAGCTTTTATTTCCAAGCCCCCTGAAATGCACTAGATACTAATTCATTAACTGTTGCTTTTGCTTGGTCGTTAGAGTCTAGAAATTTCAAAGTAATGTGTCTCTGTGGGATGTTGGTGCTAAATTGGAGCATGAATAGCCCACTGCACAAATTTTAAGCCAAAACCAGTAAATTTATATTCTGCTATGAAAGGTGAAGCTGTAAATGCAAATTGGGCAACTGAAAAGCCCTCAATGCATAGAAAAATAAGTGGTTTCTGTCTTTGCATTTGCTTAGAATGTACTCTCTGAAATTACAGTCTTGGAGTTAAGGGGGAGCCAACAGACAGAGTGACAGATTCTCTGGCTGGGTATGGATTAATGGATACCTGAGTGGAAGAACAAATCCTTAGTTTAAAAAATATTTATTTTTTCAGTTCTCATTCTCTGTTTGTTCGGAGACCCAGAGTATCACAGCCAAATGTCTTACTATAAGAAGCCCAAAAAGAAGCTCAGTTGAGCAAAGGAGAAAGATACAGGGTTAGAAAAAAGAAATCAGGATTATTGCATTGGCTCTGCATAAAATTTAGGACTGGAAACAGGAAGAAACCATTTTTGTTAACAAGATTTTTCCTAATAGAGTCTAGAGTTTGTGTGACTGAATCACATTTAAATGTTAAGTTAGCTCTGAAGCGAAGTTCCCCCTCTTTTTCCCCTTCTACACCTTACAGTGTTGTTCTGTTTTCTCCTGTTGATCTTGCCACTTGATATTCATGTAGTCATTGGGAGAACTGATTGTTTCAGCAATTATGTAGCAGTGTGAAAAACATGCCAAACACAACTGGGGAAAAGTGTGACTTCTAGTGCAAAGACGAATTTGATCCATATCATGCTGCTCAGTGGCAATGGAATTCTGTGTTGAAGAAAAAGTATTTATTTCCTGTACGCAGGGTTTTGGTGAAAGTTTGTTTTTTAGGAGTTGTAGAAAGGTTCAGAGGAATTGATATAGGTGTTAAACTCGAGCTGTTGGTGCTTGGAGCAACCTAGCTTTTGAACCAAGTGGGAGCGTGCTAACCACTATATGAAGGGCTTTTAAATGTGAGCAATAAACTAGCAATAAACTAGCATGGTGTTATCCTGTATCTGTCATAGGTAAGTTGCATCCTTGTGTTTTTCATCTGAAAGTGCTGAGTGTTAGATTAGTGGAGTGTACTGGCAGTAGTAAAACTGAGTTGATGGTACAAGATTAAATGGTATAGATAGTTAAGTGACTGTTTTTATGGCTTCATGTTATCCAGTGTTACCCAGCTGTTGGTCTCCTGCTTTACAGCTGAACAGGAAGGTTTCTTTGCAGGTGTATTTTATGAGCCACAGTCTCATCTTTTATTAAAATTGGGCAAATGATCTCTCTAATCTGACTAGGCACAAGACAAGAGGAGATGGATTTAAGCAACTGGATGGAGATTATCTAGGTTTTGGAAACTGTTTTCAATACAGACGTAAGCAACACGGTATCTACTGTTACTCCTCTCTGGACCTACAGAAGAAAGAAGAGCCTGGCTCTAAGACCCACTTCACTTCTGCAAAGCAAAAGCTTTTCTCGGGGTATGGACTGAGCTGATGACTCTGTTAACCTTGCCATTGGGGATATGTGACTTTACTAGGTTAACCCAGCATGGCTTTGTTGCTACCCTTTGTAGCAGCTGCGTGCTTTATTTTATGATAGCTTGTTTTTGTGTAGCTATCAGTTTAAACAAATGGATAATTATCTTTTTCTATGCCTTTTACATAAACTAGAGTACTCAAGCTAAATTCCTTGAAGTAATGAATACTTGGCTCGTCTCTTTGGTGGCTTTAATTGTAACATGGAAAGATCTAGGATACGGTCATTGGTGGAGTAGTGTAAGTAACTCTGGTTATATCTTGGCTACACTTTACTAGCAGGGAAAGCCACCTTTAGGATGTCTGCTTGCTGCTGCAAAGGACCAGTGCTTTTTGCTACAGAGATGAAGGAAGAGCTCACTAGTATATGTTTGTGGATCACTGTTCACGGTGGGAGGGATTCAAAGCATTTTAATAGTAAGAATGAGATGAAAATTCAGTAATTCCTTACAAGCAGATGCTGGTTGCCTTCAATTCCCTGTCTGTGAAAAACAATATCATTCCAGATTCTTAAGGATATCAATAATAAACAACTCATTCTTCACTGTGGCTTTGAGGAAGTCATTTAACTTCTCTTTGTCTCAGAAAAAACAGCTAATTTTTGCCTACCTCATAGGGATGCTGAGCTGACATCATTGTCATAGAGAGCTTTGAAAGTAAAAAGTGCTTTATCTCTGTGTGCTTTTCAAAAAGCATGTTAGTACTAGAAAATATTTTACATTTAAACTAATCTAACAGGTGACTTAACCAATGTAAGTAGACCAAAATAATCTCCACATAGACACTGAATGTTAAGAGAGGTTTCTTTATGAGTTTGTTTGTGATGAGGATGCTGGGTCTCTTTCCTTACCCCTCTCCTTCCTGTCCCGTGCTACTTTCCCTGAATATAGACTTTTTAAACTTCTTTCAGGTCTCTCTTGATGAGCTGTTTTGCAATATGATGTCTACACTGGTAGATGAACAGATCTGTAGCCCATCTGTTAATGTGTTCTAAAGCACCTCCTGGCCTTTCTTCTTATACAATAAAGTGTCTGAATGTTATTCTGTTAATCATGCTGTGTTTCATTATTTTGTATCACTCTGATTGTATTTTTGCACATATATTAGAGCATCTTCCTGGAAGGAGGAGGGTCTTTGTCTGCCTTTTTTATAGTATAAGTGCATGAAAGATCATACTTTTTTTTTTTTTTTGAGTCCTTCTATGAATCATGTAGTCCTGTATCATCAGGTGGAAGGTTCAGTAGCAGTGATCATCTCGTACTCATGGCAGACTTCAGAGGAATTTCAGTATTTTCATCAGTGAGCAGAATTTTCTTTCATGCAGTTTTCTGTGCTGTGTACTGTTCAGCATTTATAAGGTTTCAGCTGAACTTTTAATATTTTTAATAAATATGGGAGTTTTCATCCTCACCTGTGGGGTCTGCCATTCTTCCAGTGCCATGGTCTCTGCTCCTGACTTAGTGATTTTACTTGCTCCATAGGACTGTGACAGCATAGTGCCCTTCCTGTGCGTGTCATAAATGAGCCTAAAGCATGGTTTGAAATTTTCCTGTCTTGGTCATTGGTACAATCTACTACATAAATGCATGTACAATTAGCTTAAGGAGACTAAGAAGCCTTATTTGTCTTACATGCTTTCTGGCTCTTTTTTTCCATATGTGATTTAAGTGGTTTGAACAGTCTGGAGAAAGCTCTTAGGTGTGCCACCTCTGTTGTCTGTGGTGCACGTAGCTGAAAACATGCAAAGAAGTGAGGCTTGATGTGAGGCATTTGTGAAACAGGATGATTTCAGGATTTGCTTCTAGATTAAAATCCATCTAAATAGGAGAGAATGAAAGAAGTTCCTGCAATAAAGTTTAGTAACTTTAAACCATTGTTTTAAAAAATGCTTTTACCTGCAACACTATCTTACTACCATTCTGTGCTTTGGAGTGATTTCCTGTTTGGGTTTTCAGGACGTTCTATGATTGTAAGACAGCTAGCCCTGGGAAATGTTTTTCAGCCTTTCTAAGGTGCAGACTGGGCCCTAAGGTCATAGCATTTGGAAAGAATTTTAGAGGATAAAATGCAGAATAGCGTGGCATGACGTGTGGGCTCTACTCAAGAATCCTCCCAAAGAAATACAAGAAAGCTCTTCTGAATCTGCAGAAACGTTCTGTTAATACTGTAAGTGTTCTGCACTTGCTTTTAAACACACTCTAATGCTTTTTCCTGGTAGCAGGCAGAGTCTATTAGTAGTCAGCTTAAACTCACTTTAAAGAAATTTGCCCTTTAATAGAAAGTGTTTAGAGTTTTGAAATTCACGCGCATTGAACACTCTCTGTGCAGTGCCTGTCTAGCTGGAGGCTGTGACTGGGGTTGTCCGCAGATGGCAGCATCCTCCCATGGCTGCTGCAGCACCCTGAGCTACCTGAGGGATCCTCTGCCAGGCAGACAGCAAGAGCCACTGGAGAGCAGTAGGAATTGGCCCGATTCCTTTGACTTTGTACTACAGTCTAAAAAAAAAAAACTTGATTCCCTGTGAGAGAAGTGGTGGACTAGATTTTGGTGTTGCTGCTCCTCTGCTGTTCTATGAGTTTGATCCAGAATCCTGGTCTGCTTTTTGAGTGGCAAAACGTTTTATGCAGCAAACTGTATTGTTATTGGAGGAGAAAGGAGAGGTGTCCCTCCTGCATTTATGGTTGTAGGGCTTGTTTAGGCTCAGATAAGAGTCCTCCTCCTCCTTTCCAGTCTGGTACCTTAATAACTAGGGCTTTCCCCTTATGCATCGGTTTGTCTTTTAGGTCAATGGTAGAATATTTTTATTTAAATACCTTTGGTTCCTTTATACTTGGAGTTTTGAGCCTGTTGAATTACATATTTAAGGAATGAAATGCTGCTTTGGCTTTTTAAAGCTATTTTTCATTTTAAGGTGAAGCTAAATATCTAGCCAAGTTAAAATCTATAGCTCCCAAAACTGCTAAAAAATGTGTAAGTTTTACTAAAGCTCCGCACGGCTGGCTTATTGCAGCTGTATGTCTAAAGGAAACAGGCCCAGCACTGAATAGAATAATGCTCATGCTTTACTGTCTGAAATAAGGTTTTTTCTCTTTTGTGTAACTCAGAGTAAGACCCAAAATGAACACATTTATCAAGTTTTCTTTCACACCTTCTTCTGATGATAGCTCTTAATGATGTCAGTGCTTATCCTTTCTATATGGTTGCCTTTCTACAGAGTTAGATCGCAGGAAGGCTTATTGCACTCCCAGTGTTTCAGTGACCACATGGATTTGTCTGAATGAGAAATACTTGCAGGACATAGTTCAACATTCCCTTGGGATCAGCTGAGAGAACATTACTTGCTTCAACATTCACTGGTCTGCAGACACAGTGGGTTACCTGCCAACTGTATCTATTCCTTTGGAAGGAAACCTGTGCTTGGGCATCTGTCCCAGACTTCGTGTGTGCACTGTCTTGGCAGAGAAGTTCACACACTGGAGCTCATAATCTCTGCACATGAAAACCCAAATGTTTTTTAAAAACAGAATAAATCTAAACAAAACAATAACCCCTGACTGTCCTTTGCTGACTTCTAATCAGGCTGCCAAGGCCCGAGTGGTTTGAAGAATTAAAAATCTATGGTGCTATCGTGCTGCTTTCTCAGGAAAACAACAAAGAGGAGAATCTGCTCATTAATCAGATGGCTCTGTCAATAATGAATCAAGATGAACGTGCTGGCTGAGAGATGTGTCACATAGGCAGTTTGTCAGGGAGCAAGGAAAGCAGTGAGAACCTTGCTAAAACACAGGATCTGGTATTCTGCTCTAAGAGCTTTAAAGTTTTTTACCTGGGAAATGCTGAACAGGCAACACTAGAGTCCTCTTTCCTCCTCTTCTTGTACCCTGGAGCGTAGAGTTCTTTTAGGCAGTGGTTCAATGTGTGCAGGTAACAGTGCCTTGCCACTGATTTAGCACAAAAATAAAGACAATGCTTGTTTTCAGGTGTCCCAGCAAGCCTGCTCCTTAAATTGGCTGACTTAATAGTGGTAAAGGGATAAAGTGAATGCCTGTTCCATATAAGGAGAAAATTCTGGCAATTTGCAAATAAGGCTGTGAACTATCATCACACTGGGAAATAAGCAGTTTCTTTGACTTTGACCTAATGGAAAGAGGGTCTAATAGACCATCTTCCCAGTCTTATTACCATTGTCCCAAGGGTTGATGAAATTACTTCAGATAGATTATAAATTACTTTCTGTATGGCATAAAGCCACTGTATGCCACAGTTGAGACATATTTTAACCTGTGGGAGATAGCTCTGCTACTGTATAAGCCTTAGCACCCATCAAGATAGATAAAGGAGAGGTTGGGAATAACACGCTAGAGATTCATGTACTTTTTTGTGTGTGTGTTCTAGAGCTCAACCAAGCCTTAAGAGTATACTTCTTGCTGTGCCATACCATTCTTCATCTGGTCTTTCTTCTTCCTTAAATTAGTTCTTAAGTAGAAGTTAATTAGCCATGCAGAAACACAAAGCTTCCTCCCCAGTGATGTGCTGTAGGCTTTTTATAAAGTTCCTTTCTGCATTACTCCCCTGCAGCATCTCTGCTTCTTCAAACCTTTGCTGTTGAGGTTTCCAAGAGAAGGTGGAACAATGTTTGCACATCGATGGGGAGAGGAGGATTAAGGGGAAAGATAAAGAAGGGAGTTATAGAGGACAGTTAGGTATTAATGAAGTTGAGAAGCTGGAATCCTGTTTTAGTTTGTGCCAAAAGATTTTTCTTTTTGTCTCCACTACCTCACAAGGAATCACATCCTGTTCTGTAAGCAATAGTGGGTCAGAGTGGCACACGCTGCCTCTGTCCTCCTTTCAGCAGTTGATAGCCTGAATTCTAAAATGCATTACCTAGCTTTCAAGGTCATTGAAATGCTTTCAAATGCAAGAGAAAGGATGAGCTAGGGAAGCTGAACATAAACTATTAAAGGTTTTTAGTGGTTCTGTCAGAAACCCTGCATAAGAATTGGATACACAGAAATTCATGAGTCTTGAAGAAAAAAAAATCCCTTATACGTAGGGAATTTTAGCATTTTAATATTGTGGTGCTTCATCCAGAGAGATTCAGCGTTTTCACAAAGATGAGGTGTGACTCTTATGACTGAAGAGCCTGAGATTTGGAGAAGGGAGGTGACTTGTTCTGGTGTGAACTTTGCATGTGTGTTCTGAGATTCCAAGTCTTATGTATGTGTCTACTGGCCTACTCCTTGTCTTCTGCAGAACCCTCTCCTGGGAAACCATTAAGCAGGAAATTGATCTGTTCCCAGTGTATGCGTGTGCACAGGAGTCTTCAGTTTTGAACAATGTTCATAGCCAGAAACAGCCAAGTCCTAAATTCCTCTGTCCCTTTCTGCAGCCTCTGATCAGTGGATACACGAGATACACCTATCAACAGAGAGTACTGGGCTGGAGGCAGCAGCACCAACATGTTTCTGCTTTCTGTGAGTCAGGAAGAGTTGTGAATGCATGTACACATATAAAGTGGTGCACGTTCCCTTAGAGAGTTTACTCATCTCCAGATGGTGAAGAGACACATCTAAGTAATTTAGGAGCCATGAATATCTCCTGAGGACTGAGACATAAAAAGAAGAATATCAATCTCTCTAGCAAGCTAACCCACAAGAGAAAAAGATATTGTTTTCTAGAGATCTCTATGCTTTTTTGTGTGTTGCATTCTGATGGGTAAAAAGCGTCTTATGGAAGAAAAGTTGAAGAAGTGCTTTCAGCATGTACTTCAGTAAGGCTTCATACTTTCTAGGGAAAACTGAACTTACTGTAGGTTTTTTCTTTTATACTCAAAACATGTCCATCCTTGTCGCTGCTCTCCTGCTAACAGTTTTGGGGGAAAAGCTGAAATTCTGTGAGGCCCTGTCAGTGTGTGGGGAAGGGACAGGGAATAGTTTGAGTCCCAGGGATGTACTGCAGTAGAAATGTCTATGCTGCAATGGGAATAGTGGAAATATACTTTCAATTTTCATCTGCCAAATGAGAGCTTTAGCAGCAAAATTGACCCAAAT